ACTAGCGAGTATGATCTTTTACTGAATAGGAACATAGCCACAGGAGAGGAAAGATTAAGGGTATCAAAGGAATAGATTTTTCATTTCACTCCTTTCTTATTACAGTAGATTAGATGAAAAAAAGTGAGTTTTGTTCAACATTCATTTTTGAGGACAATTAAATAAGCCAAAAACATTGTTCAGAATTAGAGCACTGAATAAAGGATTTAAAAACCACAGTGTGGGGTTCACGGTGGGATTTTTATTTCCTTTTAAGATGAGCCATATACAGCTGTATGAGAGCTATTGTCCTCTGTCCCACTAAAGAAATAGTTTCTTTCAGAAACATTCAATCTGTTAAGACACATAGGTGTTTTAAAAGCTTAAAAAAAGAAGGAAAGCACTCAAACTCTCTTCTGGTTCAAATGGCAATTATCTGAGAAGCAGCAAAGAAACAGGACTACACGGGTAAATGAAATAGCTTTTGATTGCCTGGCTATAGATGATAGTAGGATTTGTCCTCTGGTAATGACATGCAGCAGCAAGCAGTATGCATAGGCAAGACAAAAGTCACCCTTGAATGTCTGATGCAACAGCAGTGATCTTACACAGCAAGGATGGTTATTACAAGCCTGCACAGAAGAAGCCACTTTCTTATCTAATGGGTGGAGAAATGCTCCTAGCTACTGAGGCAAAAGTGGACATGATTTCAAGAAAAACAAAACCTTTAAAAACTTCCTCATAACCGTGGGTCTGGAAAGTCAAACACCGAGAATTCTACCATCACTTTTGGCCCCCATCAAAACAAAGGCTAACAAAAGAGGAAGGCTGAAATGCCAATTCTAGTTTACAATTCCACCTTACAAGTTCATTATCCATCAACTGAAGAAGAGTTTCGCAAAAAAGACAAAACACAGATTAGATAAGTGCAGAGCCTGAGAAAACAGAACTGCTGATCACTTTAGCTTATGTGCTGCTGTCATTCATTCTCCAGGGAATCCTGTGCTCCAGGCAGATCTGGCAAAACAGACCACTAAGAGAGGAGCTTGTGTGACAGAGAACCTGGAAAGCTTCGGGCACTGAGCTTGACTGCATTGAGCTTGGAATGAGGGACGAAAGCAAGACACAAGGACAATGGTGCTTGCATTTCTAGTACCACAACTCTAGTGACTCAAAGTGCCAAATTTCAACACCTCTGAGTGTAAAGCACAACAGCATAGGATTTGAGCCAGCTGTTGGTAGAAAAATGACAGCCAGACATGCTCCTTTAAACCTTTGAAGTTGACTGTCTCATTGCTCTGACAGGGCATTTCTAGACAGAGGAAGGAAAAAACAAATCCCAAACAACCTTCTCCATAAGCTTTTTCTAAGAGAAGACAACAGACTTGGAAAAAGTCTTATGAGAAGGGAATCTTTGCACAGGATCCAATTCTTTGGAGAGGAACTCTTCAGTGAACTGTTACACTACATGCTTAGGTGCAAATGGGAAACCTGACTAGAACCTTAATTTATCAGGATAGAGGTGTTGCCACCGTAGGAAGCATGTGAAAGAGGGGTTTCCTGGGCAGAGATTTAATTTTTTTAGGTCATGTAGGTACATACCTTCAGGGCATACTATGGTTGAAAATGGCTGTTACTAACAAGACTTAAAAACCAGGAAGAGTAAAGGATTGGCCACAAAATCTCATCAGTGCTGGTAAGTCCAGGACAGATGAATTTCAAGCTCAGAGCCATTTCAAGTCTTTATGCAGCTGGCTAAAAATCCTCCTGTGTTGCAACAGTTTGTGAATTTGCAAATTCCAGTTGGAGTTGCTGAATTCCCTGTATGTTTTTGTTTATAGTGATGGCTCCATTGGTCTTCAAAAGGTTACCAGAAAGGCCAGCTTGAGAGAGTGCATGTAAACACAGCTTGGACTCAGCAGGCTGAGAAACACGTGTCCTACACAGCAGTCTGCAGAAGGGGGAAGCTCAAGCATGGCTGTAACAGTCTGATCAGAGAAAACATCTTGAGGAGGCACTATGTATGCCTCACGTATGCGAGCTATCTAAGGTCTCCTTCGCCCATAGCCACTTGCTTATAGATCTATAACACAGAGAGCAGCAAAAACTTAGTAAGGTATCGGCAGAAAAGCTGGCAGTAAGGAATACAAAGCAAATTTCTGGCCAGAGACAACCCCCCCCCACATTTCTGTTCAGTTGGGTGAGTTACTGCCTGTTAAGCAAACAGGGGCAGGGACCTTGTCCCATCATATGAGATCTCTACTTGCTTGCTTGCTGCTGAGGAGGCAAGAAAACCCTTTGGGGATGCTGCTATCAGCAATGGAATTCAGATCTACTGGTGGTGGTTGACAGCCTCTACCAATCTCTGAACTATGTTTGGGAGATGTCCAAGCAAGGGAGCTTTGTTCACAGCTGCTTCTATGGTATAGAGTGGGTCCTATTATGCAGAGGGAAGGTTCATGTGCTTAAAGAAGTGCCCCTCAGAGGGGTTGCAGAAGGGATGAAAAGGAGTGAGACCCCCAGTGAGATTTTTTCCTTTTATCTTGCAGATGAACCAGATGGCAGGAGCAGCAGAAAGCAAAGGAGGAGCATGAAGCCTTTAAAAATGAAATTGCTAAAATGTAGGGAAAAAACCAAAAACTAGGAGAATACAGAGCACCAGAGTGGAAAAATAAGCACTGGAGGAGCTTAGCCAAAAGGGGAAATAATAAAAGAAGCCAGCTCAGTTCTTCAATTCAAATTTCAACTCTGTGCTTACAGGAGAGACTTTGCGAAACTGGAGAACTGGCATTGTCTCCCTTGTAGCTGCAGCTGCTTAAAAGTCATCTGCATCTGTGTTCCCTAGCAGATGACACAGCAGCACTGATAACCTGCAAATTTCCCAGAATGTGAAAAAAGGACACCAAGAGTGACCAGTGGATCCATTGCAACTCCCACATACCGGCAGACACACATGTTTATCTAACAGGTGAAAAAGATCCAGCAACAGCACTGCTGCAGCCCTCAGCAGCTTATGATTGCCTGCAGCTGCCTTTGTCAAGTCACTGGTGGTGGGGGACACGTAATGTTCCCTGTGAAAGCCCCATTTGCTCAAGCAGGGCTTTCTGATCTCTCTGGAGAGATGCTGCTGAGCCTGTATTTAATTGGCTTTCAGGTCCCAAGATGGATTTTCATCAAGCAAGAAGACCTCACTATGGGATCTTGCACTACATCCTCTCTTCTCCAGAGTACTCTCATTTTTCAGAGCAAATGCTGATTAAAAAGGGCACGATGTCAGGCATAGCATTTGCAGGATGTGCCATGCTCCTCCATTACCAACCACAGACTAATGGATGCTGCTGCTCCATCACGCCAGGAGAAAGCATTACAAAACCCTTCCAATACCCATCCCCCCAGTTTCAGTAAAGATCCAGTGACACTTGGTGGAAAAAACAACATTGTATTTGATTTACAATTAACAGGATTTACAAATAATGACAAAGAAACAGATTAGCCATGAAATTAGGATGCCTTTGTTGATGAAAGAGTAGCTGGCAAAGCACCTTTCTGTAGAAGTCATGTATTTCAATCCTAAACAGTGTAAAATAACTTACAGCCCAGGCAGGTTCAGGAATCATTATACACAAATGCAAGAAGGCGAGTACATAACAAACCAAAAAACCCCTCCCAGCCTACTGGGCAGAAAACCAGTTCTGGTGAGGCTTTTGATTTTCAGAAACTGAAGGAAAGGCTCACTGACAAATCCTAGGAAATTTCCAAAATGGGAGAAGAAAAACAAAATGTCAACAGACAGTAAAAGTCACTGTGTGACAACCTACCGGGCAGGGAGAGCGGGTGGCAGACTCTGCTGTAGCTTGCTGAGAGTCAGCAGAGTCCGAGTGCTCGGCAGGACAATGAACGCAGGAGTACAGATGGCAGCTCTTCATTAAAATGCTACTTTACTGCCAAAAACTTGTGAGACAAAGAGAAAGTTCTCTGATGTGCAATACAGCAATTTAAGAAGACGTACCTAACTTTTTGATTTGTATGGAGCTCACCTATATTGTAAACACACACTTTCTGACAAGTAATTTCAATTTTCTTTGCTATGGGTTATGGTGTGTATTCAATCAAATGCAGCATTCCAAGGCTCAAAACTGACTGAGTGGTTTTCAATAGATGGGGATATGATTTTTCCAATATCATACTAGTATTTTACATCACAGATACAACAAAAACAAGATGGTATTTCTAGGACAGTTCCAAGATTCAAATAAAAAATCATCAGAACCATTCTAAAAGAGGATATTATACATAGTCAAATCATGTTAAACAGCACACTCTCGGCAAGCAGCTAATTACAAGCATTCTGCTGGTCATGTTTTTCACACAAAAGTCATTCAATAGCACATAAATACTTCTTTTTCTGATCTGCTTCTTTTTACAAAACCATTCATCAGATTCACAGAATTAGTACAAGTAAGGCACATTAGCATATATCATAAAACTCACAATAATAACAAAGAGTTGTAAAGTTTTAAGGACTAATTCCTTCTTTGCAGTGACTTCTGAAACCAAATGAGACTTCACCAGTAGAACCCTACACTCCTACACTGACATTACTCTTTTTTCCATCGCAGCCAGCTGTGGTGGGTGCAGTACTGTGCATCGCCATGGACATAAATAATGAAATTTAGAACTGTGTGTGGTAGCAAATGCCATTTTCAGATCTTGCAGAGAAATCAGACATAGGGTTTGTTATGTGCACAGACTAAGTTTTAGAGCTCTATGGAAGTCAATTTCCAGTTACGAAAATAAAAGGGGATATTGCATGTGTCTCTGAGCATGTTACTGTTTTCCTAGTACAAATATTGCTTAAGGTAGACAGGATGCTATAGTATTGAATTTATTTGCATAATGAATCCTAAATGCTGATGTCTCAGATTCTACTAAACCAAACGAACTATAGGTTTTCCTTCTTCCACCCCCCACCCTGCTCCCAACCAAAGGACTCTTTTTCCCCACAGAAGATTCATTTACACACAACACAACTTTTAATTAGAAGCATATTTTACAGTAAAAATTCTTTACATTACACCTCTGCTATCAAAAAACCATGAAATCTTTCATTTAAAGTTGTAATTATACATTAAAAAATAGAACACTATTTCCTTAACAGGAAGAATGAATTTGAACATCTTCAGATCAGATTTCTTTATTGCGGCTCTCGAGTCAAAGGTCAGTCACTTTATTCTCTAGCGCAGCTGCTATTTGCTGTAAACGGAAGGCAAGCTGCATTTTTTGTGCAGCTGGATCCTCTTCAAGTGCATTTATAATCTGGAAGATATAAACACAGAATGTTTAGAATCATTTAGCTTAAAATATATGACATAGCTCCCAGACCAAGTCTTTGATTCCACTTTGGTAGAGAATGAATTCAAAAGACTTTTTACAACCAAAGATAAAGTCCAGCTAGTGGGCCCTGTGTTGCATTTTTACACAAAGGCAGTAGAAAGGATTGTCTCCATTACTTTATCTAAGTTGTGGTAATGTTTCCCATTATGCTTCGGAACAAGCAAATTAATAGGTAGCACTTTATCTTGTGAAATACTACATTCCAAGATCGACCAGGCAGGGGGAAAAAATGCCCGTAGAGCTATTTAAGAAACAGTGCTTTTCCTTACAGTGCACCCTACAAGGCTTAAGGGTCATTTACCAGCAGTAATTAAGACCCATCCCCATGAGCTTTAGTTATGAGAAGCTCCTGGGTGGTCCTCACACAGGCACACGGTGGGGCAACACAAGGTCTCTTGTGTCTGTAGGCAATATAAGGAATAAAACGTCTGGCTGGAGCATCAGGGAGCTGTTGGCATCTCCCCTTTGGCTCTCACCAAGAAATGCCAAGACTCTGGCCCAGCACTGCATAGTTCAGCAAAGCAAAGAGTTCATCAGAGGAGCCCTCAGCATCCCACTTGCAGCCTCTGCTGTACAGAATATGTATAGGAGGATATGACTCTTAAGACACAGGGGATTTGAAAACAAGAGCTAGTAAAGGTCAGCTGTTATGAGAAGGCTTTTCTTCAAATAGAGTTTTTTACGGCTTCTCAAGATCAAATTCAAAAGGTTTCGAAAGGTTTTCATTTCCACCATCCTCTAGGAAAACTTTCCCACTCTCCCATCAACTATTAGATTTCTCCATTAGAAGAATGTGCTACATGGCAAAACTGTTCCTTTTCTGGAACTGGCTTTATTAATGTAAGCCAGACTATAATCAAGTAGAAACCTTTAGCACTGTTTAAATACTACATAATGTAGTACAAGACTGGAGACACAGAGTTTGCCTGTCACTATCTGTGGTTCTTATTACTTCTTGCACATCACTGACAATGGAGATTTATGCAGTCAGTATCAATCTAGTCAATAATTTCACTTTGAAGGGCTGGTATAGACTGGAGCAAATTTGTTTAGAAATAATTATTTTAATGGATTTGTTTTTAAAGTGTGAAAACATTTTTACAAGACAGAGTTAATAAACACTTATTACAGTATTTAAACTGGGCCTAATTTAATTTTATATTGTTCCCTTAATTTAAACAATTACATCTAGCTGTAACTCCTCAAATCTAGACTAAATAATTCATGATTATCTCTGCTTGTGAATATATCCTTCATATAAATGTGGACAATTAGAATGTACCCACTTAGTCACTGTCAAGCCCTGCAGAGACGCAGAAGGTACAGCACATGCTGGGAACCACTGCGTCAGTAATAAAGACAAGAGCAGCTGCAAAATGTTCCAATTTATGCAAATTAAAACATTTTCATGGAAAATAAATAAGCTCGATTAATTTTACTGAATGGTTCTTGACAGATTATCTCCATAACTGTGAATTAGCAGCCTTTTCATCAGATGCACCTTGTTGTTACATGGTGATGTACGCGGAAGGGAAGAGCTGCAGCTACGCCCTGGGGTGTGCTGGCCCTGCCACTGATTAAATCCCACATGCTGGTGACTCCACCTGTGCCTGCCACCAAAAGTGAGAGCACGAGTGGAAGCAGGGACACAGAGGTGTGGACAAATCAGTGATTTGCCATTCATCTGTCATCCAGGGTCGCTGAGTTAGAGGCTGGACTTACAGACACACTCAGGAAGGTGCTGAAAGCCAGCTTGGTTAGCACTGGGGATGGAGGGCAAGGGAGCCAATACCATGGGGTTGGCCTGCATTCCTGTGCTTCCCCCACTGACTGTCATTGCAAGACTTCTCAGTGTGATTTGATTCGGGAGAATCATCTTACATCTGTTTGAAAGCTGCGACAGGCTGGCTGCTCCTGTATAAACCAGCTGCAGTGAAGGATGAGACACAGTCTCTACTGCTAAATATAAGTGAAAACATGAGCTGTGCTGAGGTGCAAGACAAACTGAACAGAGCTCACATGTGCTGTACTCCTTTTTGATTCAGCATCTGTTCTTATTTACTTTGATTTAATTCTGAGAGTTTTCTGGAAACATTCATTTCCATGGAAACCTTTGAATAAAAGTTTCCTTCTCTCTTTTTGTTTTCAGATTAAGTTTGGAGAGCCATAGCCACAGCTCAGCTATGCTGGGATATGCTTTGTCCTCCTTTCCACAGGGCATGAAAAACCTAAGAAACTTTTTTAACTGAATCTGTGAGCCTGCTTTTGAATCAGGCTATGTTCAACAGATACTCTACTTTGGTTTACCTTGGGCAGGCTCTTCACTTGGCACAACAAAACAGGGATGGTAGCATGCATGGAAGTTTTAAGTGCATTTTAACTAATGAAGAGCTCAGAGCCCAAATTCCTACAAGCAAAGTAAGTTTAATGGATTGTTCCTAATTAAAAAGCACACAGGCTTGAAACCTGATATAGCTCTGATGGCTACTTTTTGCTCAGTGACATTCTTATGTCCTAATTAGGATGGTAGAACTGAAGAGAAATTATTTTTAAATCTATTTCTCTTTCAGATGTTAATGTATCCATTAAACTATCCCTACCAAAACCAGATAGCCCATGATGAAATTGTTCATTTATAAGGACACTCCCTGGACCAGTGTAATTGCCAAGCAAGGTGTATAACTGCAAGGTTAGTGTTTTCTGTTTGGCACTGCTTTTACCTGATTATCCAAGGAGCTCCAGAAGTTGCTCCTTTAGACTAATGTTACCCTTCATAACATTTTAACATTGATGTTAAAACATGAAAACAAAAGCCGTGACTTACCTCATCATAGTATTTGTTAGTGTACTGGTAGAGTTGGTGTAGAGCCACAAGTGTGTTTAAGGAATCAGTATGTGCCTGTTAAACAACACAAACAGGCAGCAAACGCATCAAAACAGGATCACAGGCAGATGAAAGTTATGCACATGCACAACTGTTGGATACTATTGGCAAGATTTCCAAATGCAAGCTTTGCATCCTGTAACTTTTGTTAAATGACACTTGGCACAGAAAAAAGGAGTGAGAAAACTTTTGTTTGGTGATTTTCAGATCAAGACTTTCCTGCTGGTATTTTTCCATGCTGCCCACAACACTAACACTGGAGGTGGAAAACATTTTGAAATCTGAATGTCAAACCACAGACTACAGCTCAAACATCTGTTAGCAGCATGGATATGTATAACTAAAGCATTTACTCAGTACAATCTATGTATTGTTGATATATTGAGCATTGGTTCTGACACTGTCATGGTTGTTTGAAATCCTTTCTCCAGGTCTTCTTATATCTTGGAAATTATTCACACCTCACTACAGCAAAGGTGTAACTTATCAAGATATGAGCACATGTACGTTTGAAAACAGCCACCTGAATCATGAAGATGGAAGGGCAGGGGAGAGGGAGGGGGGAGAAAGGACTTTAAATGAAGCAGGAAATAACTCTTCCATTACCTTGTCCTTCCTCCCCCATCCCTGAACATTTAGCTTATTTAGTGAATGTGCCCTATCTGTCTGAACAGATGTTCTTCATTCAGAGGTGTAGGATTCAAGACTCCAGCTATGCCTTTAGTCTTTTAAGTTAGTTAAGAAAATGAAGAATTGCAAAATATTGCTGCTGGCATAAATGATTACCCAAGGGATAAAGCAGCAGAGAAATATCCATCTTTCCTTGCTCTATAAAAGCCACTTCTAGAGCTGGTCAAAATTTGCAATGTTCAATCACTCCTTCCATATTAATTTTTATCATCATTTATAATGAAAATAGAAAGGAACAACATATTCTGCTGATGTTAAAACATGATATTCAATTTACTTTTAATCACCAAATTTTTAAATTTTATATACATCTCAATTCATGCAATAAATAAAGTGAACTGGAAAATGAAATGTCACTGCAGATGAGTTTTGTCGTGAATGACTGAAAATAGAAATGCTCTCATGAGGATGTTGATCTGAAAAATGTTAGGTCCTAAGGGCACTGAAATAAACTAACCGCAAAAAATTCCCCAAACATCCTCCTTATGCTAGAACTCTTCAACTAAATTAAGCAAATGAGCAAACCAGCCAGTAAGTACACTGTCTCCTTGCTCAGGCTAAACATCTTTTAAGACTGGTGAGGGACTCTCCTGGTTCTCCAAGATAAATTGAGTGCTTTGGAGGGAAGAGCCTGTTCTAGCTAAGCTGAGCTGCTGAGCAGACAGACTCTTTCAAGACTAAAGCAAGTTTGATAATGTCTTTGCTCCACCAGTCTCCAAGCAGAACCCCAGTTAGCAACCACCCTCCTCTGCTCTCCTCCAAGAGAGATAACCTATAATGCAAAAAGAGAAAGTGCTGCTGAGCAAGCACATGATGAGCTTCTCACATGTAGCATGAAGCAGAAATATTGCCCCTGTACAGGCAGCTATAAAATATGCTAGACTTCACATGCATGCCTCTTCTTTCATTTCTGGAATCTAATTTTTGCTGTGGTAGCATTGTGAATTCAGTCACTACCTGTTGTCAGTACAATCAATGCTAAAAATCCTCTATATGCTGTAGAGAGAAAACACAATTTAAGAGTGCTATAATTTCTGTGAAAAATCCAAATACTTTGCTCTGGCCCCTGCATCACTCAGATAGATTAGTGATGAAAACCATTCTTGCTTCCATCCAATAATCAGCATTTCAAAGGGCACACTAAACAGGAGTATTTTGGAGATTTATGAGATAACTCATTTGATGTTTGCGTGTACAAAATCCACTTTTTGAGTTAGAAAGAGAAGACAACAAAAAACAGTGCTACACTTGGCTCCAATTTCAGTACAAGACAATGAAATTTATTCTTACCCTAGAAATCTCTGCTAGATGGGTGTTCATGTCCTGGTCACTCACTGGCACCATCTGACGAATACCTTTGTAATAACTGAAAGAGATGAAAAAACCCTTTTCAATTAGGTGAAATACATTGTGGTTTCCTGGCAATTCTATCTTTCAATTTTGCAATTATTTTAAACACTCTTCCTAATAACACAGGAGATGCTCTACCACAGCAGGCCCATGATTCCCTTAGTAATCCTGCCTTCCAATGGTCATTAGTACCTTTGCAACAGAGGCAAATCATACCTGATTGTACAGGGACATACCACAGAAAAGAAATCTATAATTGCACATGACGATTACTTTAGGTCTTAAAATTGGCAAGAGTTTTGTTCTGCAACAGATCTTCCATGGTATTAACAGAATTGCCAATTAGTAAATTAATAAAGTCAGAGACGGGATAGAAAAAATATATGTTTCTGGAAATGTTTTCAGGATTTGATCTCTACTGAGTTATGGAAGTGCAGTGTTTATTAGACAGATTGTATGGGTAGCAACTACCACTGCAGAAAATAGCATGTTTTCTTCTGTATAAATCTATCCCTCTGTCTGTACACACAAGAGAATGCTCTGGGTCATGATGGAGCTCCATTTCAACCCTGCCAATGCCATCACCAATGAAATGTTCTAACATTTGGGTGTAAAATTTTTAATATTTGGCAGCTGACTATGACTATCTCAGCATCTGCTTTTTCTCTTACACAGGCTTAAAGTCCTAACAACTGAATAAGCATGAAAAGAGTCTATACTTACTCTTCCACCATTTTCTTATAGTTAGAGATTTCTTTTGCATAAAGTAATTTATTACTTGGAGAATCCTGAAAAATTGATAATAGAGAGAAATTTAGTTGATTTATGAACATCTCTAGGAAGCAAAAGAAAGTCAGGAACTGAAGAACAAGCCTTTATATTCATATAGACTTGAGCTTTACATATATTAACATTTGGTTGCTTATTAACATTGGTGGGATTATTTGTCCTAAAAAGGATGAAGTTTACACGTGGCATTATCTTTGGGTTTTACAAATATATCCATGCAAGGTGATCCTAAATTACTGGTGGACCTGAAATAATCAGTTCTTAAACTTGCTTTTCATTAAAGCAGTTGCTATTTTCTCCTTCCTCTAAATATCAATTGGCAGACTACACAGTAACACTGACATGTTCACCAACCTGTTAAGTGGTGAAATGCTAACTTCATTATAAAACTCAAAAGAAATGATCAAGGCTGTATCTCCTCAGAGGATAGGTATTGTCTATGAGGATGCCCTTTGTCTTGTCAGGCATGAGCATAGTCAGAATGTAGAATGCAAATCACTTACTCTGCTTAATTTGTGCTCTGTTCTTGTGCAAGCATCCATGAAAGTCTGTGCAATGACTGACAAGGAAGCATCCACTACTTCGTGAACATGAACATCGAAGATGAAGTGGGGATTTTTGAGTATGTTTACCCAGAATCTAAGGGGCAGGCTGCAAAGCAAGGAAAAAGATAAATAATCCTTTTTACACAATAAATGTTCTACAACAAGCAAATCACATAAAATGAAGTGAAGGCTTTGCATTTTGATCTCCTCACAACTGTGATGCTTAATTTTATATTTCAAGATTTATACAAGCTTGTCTGGTTTCCCTCTCTGGAAACCAAGCCTTTACATCTCTCACAGAAAAACTCATATGAAAAGCAAGAGAAGCTGTCTGTGTCATCAGAGAAACTACCAAGTAGTATTTATTAGATTTTGTAACTTGACAGGCAAATTTAGTCCCATTTGCTTCTTGCTTTCCTCTTCTCTGAGGAAAGACAAAAAATAAAGCAGCAAATCTGCCAGCGATAAACCCATAGGTAAGCTGGTTTCATTTTTGCAGCTTCTAGGCTTATGGGGAATCTTTTGGATCATACAAGCATATTACCTCAATTGTAATGACTCTAAGGAGTATAAATGAACTGACTTTGATTTGTGATAAGAGTGCCAGTATATATGTCTGGGAATTACACCCTCTCTGCAATATAAGTATGATGGTTCATACAGTACCTGTTTGTTTTCCAGATGTGAATGGTCTCTTCATCCTTGATTTCATGTTTTTCTGCTTGCTCATCAAGAAAGTCGAAGAAGTATTTCACAGCTGGTGGCACCACATGGTTTGAGTTGAGCACACTCTGAAAGAAGTCATCTACAAACTGCTGAAGTGTTCCCTAAAAGCAAATTTTAAAAAAATCAATTACATTTGTGTTACAAGCTGAAATCACTGCCAACCTAGCATCTTTTATTCCTATTGACAGTAAGAGCCCATAATCCAGCTGCAGTCACTGATGACCTTCATCCTGAGTAGTGACAAAAAGCAAGCAACTTCTTAGTGCAGTGACCTTGCAAACTGCTGCCACAGTAAAGACCTTCTAGAGCAAAATTTTATGCTCTAGACTGAGAAGTTTTGACTTCACCTATGGTTTGCATAGAAAGGTGTGCTTTCGGCTTGATAGAAGAAGCAGAAACTGGCTGCTAAGTATACACTATATTTACTCTTTGAGATCATTGTTCACATAAAATAATTTTTTGCCACTTTTTAATTGTTTTGCAGCTTCTCACCTCCAGTTTCTCTGACACCAGAACACCATGCAATTTTTAGAAAGAGACTGAGAGGAGGAAGTACCAGTGAGCAACTGAATTTTTGTTTAAGGGTTTTACCAGACACCCAGTCTGACAGCTCCACTGAGCCCAAAGAGTGAGGTGTCCCAGGAGGGCTGTGTGCTTGATTGGATTCCTGCATCTGCCTGGACCTTGGTGACTGTGTTCTTAGAGACTGTCCCCTTGTTTTAGAGATGACTCTGTTGGGGCCACATACAGTTCATCCCCACTCAGCTGATTGGCCCTACAGACATTTTTGAAGGGCTTCATCCTCTCTCCTCCTATCTCCTCCTATTGTTCCCCTCATCCCCCCTCTATCCCTCTATCCCTCCAGCTGCCAGGCTCCAAACAGGGCAGGAACCCAGATGGCAAGGAGCCCTAAGCCATTCTGCTGTCAGCAAGGACACATTGACACTCCTTGGGTTGCAGGGGTAGCTATGAGCTCAGCCATAACACCTCACCAGCTCTTTAAGAGTCAGTAAAGCTCCAGACCGGTAATAATCTATAAACTGGCTATTGGGGACAGAAAACTAGTGGCTGCAATGGAGTTATTAACACAAAAAAGGGTTGTAAGCATCTTGTTGGCTCTTCATCCTATGTCATCTATGCACAGACTTTCCTTCTCATCCACTTTCATGCTGGGCAAATGACCCTAGCTGGAGACAGACCACCCTCATTTTCATGAGGAGCCTGGCTTTAGGGTCATTAAACACATTATTCTAAAGTCTTTCTCCAAGGAGGAATACTTCACAAAATTATTTTGCTCATGATCTACTCTGCAGTATAAGCACTAAAAAGCCTCTAAAAGGACTATTATTATTTGGAAACTTTATTTTTCTAGGTTGTACTGTAACATTGATCATGCACAAGAGCAGGGAACTGTAGGGCTCTGTAGGAGTTTATAAAGCATTCAGTTCAAAAGAAAACCCAAACAAAATATTATCTAAACAGGTGGCACAGAGCAGAATATCCATCTTGGTCTTGCAAGGAAAATCCTTATTTAACGATCACATAATCTGAGTTCTCAGTTCTCTTTGATCAGGAGTTGTACTTTATCTCTTTCCCAGTAATGTTCCTCAGGGCATATTAATCACTTGAAGCCCTGAACTCCAGTTGCATGTACATGAAACATTCAAAATTGCAGACAAACACATGGCTAATAGCTGCATCATTTTCTTCATTTATACCTCAAAATCTACGGAAGTAAGGTGTAACCATAGAGCATCTGAGTCCTACCTTCACAGAAAGAAGTCTGGTCAGGTAGATTTCTGTAATAGCTTTGGTCCTCTCTTTTTCTTTCACACTGCCGCGCTTTGATTTACCTTCATCCATTTCATCCACTGGCCGGACAAGATGCCAGACTTTATTTTCATCTTCCAGGAGTGCATGCCCTACAAACAGTAATCACAATAATTACAAAAAATGCTCCACACCCAAACCAGCAACATAAAAATAATCATATACATATGCACATGTAAGGCATTTGTTCCCTATCCTTAACATACCTGTCCTCCTGCCAAGAGGATCTAGATTACTTGGTTCCTGCTCAACGTATACAACTCAAGTACTAAACGTTCAGTGATACATAGCTGAAAAAGCTTGCTTTTGTCAAGACCAAAGGGAGTGGAAGGAATCATACAGTAAGGAAACTCCTGTTTGATCATGTAAGCACAGTATGCACATTTTTTGATGTCCACACACTGAAGTACTCTACTCCTTTGTGAATTCTTGGAGGCATGATCAAGTTATTGAAACTCAGCTAGGTCTGACCCAACAGCCACCACAGAAATACCAATTGCAATCTACTCCAGGTACAACCTTTTTTTCTAGGTGTCACCATTATGAATCACATCTTTACCCTAACTGCTGAGGTCAAAGTATGGTACCTCAGTTCAAACCTTCCTTTATCAGCATTTCACTCGACTTTGTAGGTGAGAGGAGGGAGAATGTATCCCTTTGCTGAGAGAACATGAACTCCAGCAGCCAGAGGTAATCACTGCAGCAAATTCATATCCATTGCAAAAAGATTTTAAAACATTTTTGTCAGTGTTCATAGCTTAAACCAGAGAAAGAGACTCACATCAAGTCTGTTACCATACAGCAGAAACAGGAGTAAGCACCTGGATGCTAATGATGGCTCATCTGATTACAGTGCCTCACTACGCTATCAGTGGCTTGGCCACGCATCTGGTCCCTGAGCTTAGTTCAATGATCACACAGTGGATAAAGACAGTTTTGCATTTCAGCATCAACATGAATGTTCAGACAAACTCTATGCTTGAGAATCTTTGATTACAACCAGTTCTAAAAGAGATGATACAGTTGTTTTAACTTGCAATTAATGTACCTTGAAAAGAATTTACGTGACACAAATTTACTTTCCAATGTCCTAGTTTTGTTTGTTCCTCCTTTAATTCCTGAACATTTTTATCTAGTGGCATAGGCCTTAAAATCAATGGCACTTTTCCAGTGGAAGTTATTTAATCAGTACATTTAAAATCTTTGATGTCTTAAAAAGACTAGTTATTTTTCTCATAAAAATTTTGATTCAGCCCCACTGCACGAATTATTTTGCATTGCTGTTAAGTTTTATGCTTTAATATACATCTCTAACATAACTGAATCCCAGTTACAGCACAAAATACCAGTTTCTAACTGTATTAATTTTGGCCATAGCAGTTTATTAGCTAAGTTCCTCAGCAACTACATTGAATTTCCCTGTTTGCATGTATGTTCAATACACAGAGGAAAATAACATTTATGTGTAATCTGGCTAAGCCAACACTTTTGCTTGAACCTACTTTATATATCCTCATGAAAAGTATTAGCTATGCACTCTTCCGGGACCTTTACTTCTTTTTAACAAGGTAGGGAAAAATATGAATCCCACATTAAATCACATTGTCCTTTGAGAGTCCTTAATTCATCTTGGAAGTTCATGTGAATGAAGCCAGAAAGAAAGAAAAGCTCTCACTTTATTTTGAAGCAGCTGCGATTTCGCAATCGATACCATTCATGGCAATCATCTGCCAGTACAGTAAGAACTGCTGCTGGGCCTGAAGCCTGGAATTTCTTTTGCAATCCCTGTTATTTACTTTTGCAAATTAACAGATCAAATCACACAGTTGGAGAAACTATTTTCCAGCCTTATGTCAGCTGCTTGGTACACTTCTGCTTCCTCCCTTGATTCAAAGGAGTTTATCCTCTCTTTGCCCTCCTGATGGTATATGGCCCAGTTTAACTTTGAAGAGAAAACAACTAAAGGGGTTTCCACTGACATTACTTGCCCCTACATGCAGCTTAATTTGTCCTGTTTGTTTAGCAGCAGCAGAATTGGTTACCAGCGGAATTGTAGTTATTTCATAGGAAACTAAGGATTAAGAAACTACAGCTCAACCAGATGAACTTCTGCAACACAAAGATCCCACTTCATTGCTATAAATAGCAGGAAGAAAGAGGAAGAGAAATTCAGAGCATGGGGCAACAAAGCATGTCAGCAGTATGGTTGCTAAGGGAAAATAATATTTCTGTGAGATAATATTTTCCCCAATGGAAAAGTAGGAAGTGAAGAAAATAAAAGGTTGGGGAAAACACCTCCTTTTTAACTCTATAGTCACACTATGCATCAAGCTGTAAGCAGGGAGAAGATTGTGCCCACTGGGCCAAATGCTTGCCCCTGAACTCATTGTCTTGGCCCTTGGGCATTCTTTGGTCAATAATTGGTGGGGGTGGGGAGAGGGTTAATGCCAAATATAGACTGTGCTGACTAATTATAGTGATATGAACCATGATGCAAACGTGATGGAGGCAAATGAGATAGTGACAGGCAATGCAGTTCCTTTCCCCTTGTGTGACTTGCAGCAAATTGTCTTCCTTCCAGTCTCACTCTCCTCATGAATATTGCTCCATGGTGAAGGAAGGGCAGCCTAATAGGCTGACCAATCGGTATTTCTGATCTGCAACCCTCCATCTATTTTTATTCAGAATTAAAAAAACCACCACCACCAAAAAACAGAGAAAACACCCAAAATAACAGAACATCTTGTTTTGGTTCAGAGTTCAGTACAGAAATACTAGTATGAAATCACTGAAGCCATTCTCCATCTTGATGCAAATTAGTAATTGCATTTATTGTCTCCAGAAGCAAAAGATGCTGCATTTAATTTGTCACAACCTCCAGCTTCTAATGCCTTCCTGTTAGAAGCTGTGAATCAAAAGCAGCATGGAAGGAATGCCAGGTTTAGAGCAACATCTCTGAACATGCATTTTCATTCTGTGCAAAGCCTCCTACTTTGGCAGATAGTCAATGGCTTCAGCTGACACTTCTCAATGCAAAAGGTGCAAGTTAATGAGTTTCTGAATAAAAGGAAAACCACTTCGTCACAAGTCTCATTCATAGAGTCAGGATAGGACTATTTATTCCAACCCTGTAAATCCCTGTGTCATATAAATGTGTATGTGTGGGAGGGGAAGCCTCTGATCCTCTCCTCTCCCTTTTATATACAGTGTCTCACAAATCACTGTCACAGCAGGCTCTCACTTTGCACTAGTTTTGTAACATGTTATAGCTTTCCAACAGAACAAGTTGGCATCAGATAGCTCTGAGGACCCTTTGGTGCTAAAGAAAATGGGATAGCCTGGGATGAAACAATGTAATTCCAAATTTGTACGCTACCATGGTGCAAGACAGGGCTTAGAAAACAAATATGGTGGAAGCTGTCTTCACTTGATACTTTGGGATCTGAATTCTCTGCAGACTTTTCCTCGTGTACAAGAGCCCTTCTGTGACAGCTCTCTCTCCAGAAGTCTGCTTTTTCCTTTACAATATGTCACACATATAACTAAGGAATTCACCTTGGAGTACAGATCATGTTTGTTCAAAGAGCTTCATCATACTGAATCATAGCTAAAGATATAATTGTAGAGAAGGAGGAAAGAAGAAAACCTAACCCAACAGAAAAAGAAAAACCCCACATGATCTGGTCCTCTACTGCCTGCTACAAGGGTAGAGAGGTGGGAAGAATGACTACTGGGAAATGACCAGTGTTCTATCTTTAAGAAAGCAAAGCAAGCTAAGGACTCCACCAGGCTCCATTCATGGCCCATTCCACTTCTTGGAAGAGATATGACTACTGCCTCAGCAATCAGTGCAACCAAACCGAACAGGGACTAGGATTCAGTTCCTCGCCTGGCTACACTCCACTGCCTTCTATATTAAACTGGATGGCTTTTTAACTTAACATGCTGGCTTGGCATGAACTGTGACAGAACAGTCACCACTTGGCCAGCTATGGCGGGTGCTTGCAGTAAAGGGGTGAGAGGATTGCAGCAAAGGTGTAGTCATGACCATAAGAAGACTCTTCTTTCTGCTGGAAAAAGCCTCAACAGAAAGAATCTGGGAGAACAGAGTAAAAAGCAAACAGCAAGTAATTCTGCCTGTCTTAATTTCCTGTCCAACACTCAAAACAAAAGAAATGAGAGTCTGCACATTTCTGCTAAATAGTGACATACATCAGAGCTATCAGCCGAGACTCATCTTCTTGAAAAATGTACATTTCTGGCATATTATTTCCAATCTGTTTAACTGCCCAGCCCTTGAAACCTACTCAATCTAAGACCAGTAAATCTGTTTAAAGGAATGAAATTATTAGGTGAAGTGATGGCTTTTGCAATCAGTGCTAGACAGAAAAGCATATCAAATGAGTTCATGGGAGAAAAAATTATCTTGACAATCTTTGTTCCATAAATCTAACTTCTACTTCATGTAAAATGACTGAATATAAGGGTAAAAAAACCACCAGAGAAACTAAATATCTGAAATCTGTAAAGAAAACACATGTGACAAAGTACATTAATTCACATGTAAATATTTCCATGAAAATCTGAGTGCATTCTAGGCTGTAATGGATGTTGTGCCTCAAGAGATTTTCAGATATAGAAAATCGGTCTATACTGAACACTAACATGTAAAAATTAAAAGCTTTAAAAGATGGCTTGCAAGCTAACAGGTTGTCTCCTGTGTTGAGCAGTCCAGCATACTGTAGCAGACAGCAATACAAGAATTACGCCACATCTGCATTAGTGATGTGAAAGAGAAGAAACATCATAAGGATATTCCTGACACTAACTTAGAGTAGATTTCAAACCTCAAAAAGAACCAAGGAATTGTGAGAAACACTGCATCTAAAGAGACAAAATGAACTAAGTCATCCAAAAAGCCCTGGGAATAAAGCTAGCATAGCTGGTGAAACATCATTCAAAGGGAGGGGGACACAAAATATGAATGTATGGAGATGAGTTTGCAAGGCAACATAGCTGTAAAAAATGCAATAAAAAAATTACATCAGATCCATTATGTCACAGGGGGAAGCTGGTCTCTGCCACGGTTCACCTAGAACAATGCATTTAATTCTCAGTCTAATAAGAAGTAGAACAAATTTAAAGAGGAAAGTGAGTAAAAGATGAAGGAAGGAGAAAAAGAGATAAAGCTCTGGAAAGATGAAATGTACAGTTTGACTATAGATGTCACGTGATTAAAAAAGAATATATGCAAGGAAACGTTTGCTAGGAGTGCCTTCTGTTCTGTTGGGGTATGGACTCACAGCAATTATGATTAAAGCCTCAGTATTTAAGACCTTTACAATGAGGGCAAATAAAACCACTGCAAATGTACAGTGGGTAACACACAACAAGTAAACCCTATATAGTCTGGTGGGGAACATCTAGCTCAACAGAAGTGCTCAGTAAACAATATCAAGACAGCAGCATCACTCTCTGCATGGGTTTTGACTTTTAGTCATTTTGGGAGGTAGGGAAACCACAAGATACTTACTTTCCCCTGGGACATCCTGCTGATTATCCTCTGGCTGCTGGGAAATTCCCATTTTTGATAAGATGAGCGTGGCACCATCTCGGACCTTAGAAAATACAAACACAGAGATGTTCTCCAAAAGAAGCACACACCACTGAACTTCCTTCTTGAAACAAAAACCACAGTTTCTGTAATCTGTTGCAGGGAATCTAGACCTATGATGAATGCTGCCCTTTAAAGGCTTCTTGGGCAACTGGCTCTGCAATTCATAACAGATTCCCTTCCCCACCCATCAACACTTCCTCTGATATTACTGAAATACTAGGAGTATCTCCAAGGTTTAAGTGGTTCCTCAAAGCAGTGTGGGTGCCCCCAACCCCCCTCAAAAATGGGATTTATCATGAAGAATGAGACCTGTCTGTTTTCTGAGGGAAAACTAACCAACTTCTCCCTTTTATAATCAGGATATCTGTGGTTAGAAAACAATAAATAGCATACAAAGGAAAGATAAGTGGATTGCAACTGCATGGTAGAGTGCACAGTATGAAACCTAAAACAGACGGTACATAAGCATCAACATCTGGTCTGCTGATTGGGCTGCTGAACAAACCAGACCAACCCAAAATCTATTTAGCAGCATGGCAAGGACAAAGAAAATTCTCAGGGGTAGGAAGTGGTAGAGAAAAGAAAAGATGAATATGAGACCTAGTAAAAGGAGCTTTTGAATGTTCAGAGTGGAATTTGGATTTGGATATTGCAATGATGTGCTAGCATTTAGGTGACCTGTGTTTATGTAAGATATTTAGGCAGCATACGTAGACCTGCCTTTCATACTCCAAAGCTTTTACTACCTAGACCCAGAGCCCGCAGGTTTTTTTTGTTTCTTTATTACAGAATCTTAGAATGTTTTGGGTTGGAAGGGACCTTAAAGACCATCTAGTTCCAATCCCCCTGCCATGGGCAGGGACATCATCCACTAGACCAGGTTGCTCAAAGCCCCATCCAGCCCAGCCTTGAACATTTCCAGGGATGGGGCCTCCACAACCTTCCTGGGCAACCTGTATGTAGCAATGAGGTTTCACTAAAAACACATAAAGACTTTATTACTAGAGAGCAGTTAACATGAGCAAACAACTGTTTTGAAACACCTTACATTATAATGCATTAGTGTGTTGATACGTTTCCATCTGCCATCTCTTTGGGATGTTAAATCCAAGTCTGAGAGGATCTGTGCAGTTGAACCTGGACGCCACTCTGAGGGGTAATTAAAGAGAGAAAAAAAGCAGTTTTTAACCATGTGGAGAAATAACTCCTCCAAGAATGTTTTACAGACCCACTGATGCATTATGGAGCATTAAAAGAAGTAATTTAGCACATGCCCCAATCTCTGTTTGCTATTGCTTAATAGTTTGATCTTTATTACAGAAGTTTGCATGAACTATTCCTAACCATGCACTGATTTGTTTTTTCTGATTGTTTTAAAAAAAAAGTTAAATTCTTTGTATAGAATACTATAAATATATATAACAAGATCTGTTCTCAGTCAAAACCAGAGTAGGACTTTATGGAATAAAAGAGCCATTTTTAGGGGACTTCCTAGGATTTTCTGAAGAGCAAGAATTGCATCTTCTACTTTCAGATTAATGCTGTAATGAGGATATTGAGAAAACTAATAATTGGAGCTTTTATGCTGAGATTATTAGGCCTTTTAAGCTATGCCATTTCTTTTTTCTCAGGAAGAGAACAGCTATTTTGAAAGCCTTCAAGGAGGATGATTTTCAGACACTAGGTGATTCATCATCTCCTAAAAGTGAAGCTCCTGTAAGTTATAATTCTTTTGAATAACCATCATAAAGGCAACTAAAAATTGGTACCAGTTTCTGAAATTGCATCATTACTCCTCCATCAGCTAATTATCCATGCCATCATTATCTCATTAATTAGTACCTGAGATACTGACTCTGTCAGACATGAATACATTTGTGCTGACAGTCATTAACAGGCTCTTTGCACGCTAATGACAGTATACCAAAACTTCAAGAGCCAGGAAAAATAACTTTATAAGAAAGCATTAATTTTTAAGGCATATTAAGATTGCTGCAAAATGCTGGATTTTTGCATTCAGTTGAACATGAATTTTTTTTTAAAAAAAACCCTCAATCCAAACCAAACAATAAATTGCTTTAATAGACATTTCTAGGGAAAATACAAAATCACACAACATGTCTCACTTGTTCAATATAGTATCACAAGTAGCTACCTACCAAGAACTACACTGTCAGCTTTTGGCCACTGAGAACACGGCAGATTTCGGTACACTTGGTCTATTATCTTTTCCTTTACTTGTGATATCGTATCACAGTTCAGCACTTTCACAGGTGTGGAATCGGTGCCTCCATCTTGTACATATACATTTACTGTCTGTAATGAAAAGAATGTACATGGTTATTAAGACAAATCAGTGCTGAATTGCCTCTGAATCTGTTTTTCGGGGTGATTTAAATGCAAACAAATATCTGAAATTCACCATGCAATGATTACTGCACAGCAGCACATATTTGCAATGGGAGTAAGGATTACTTGAAGGATCCTTTGCTGTTATGCAGCCAACCAGCTATCATAAATTCCAGCTAATTCCTCCCACTGTGACAAAACAGAAAAGATACAGAATAGACTTAGTCATGTCTAATATGCTAATACTTATTGAGTCCTGGGAGTTTATTAAAGAGGGACACACAAGAACAAAGCAGCTGGACCACTGGCTAGTTACATGCTTCTCATATAACCTGATAATCTGAAGCATAAAAAAGAACAAGTAATGCAGTGCCTAAACTTCACGAGTTCCCAATAATCATGTAGGCTGCACTCTGCTGAACTCCAAGAATACTGTGTGCTTTTGCCTTCCTTTATGCTATCTTCATGGCTGTGGCTTTAAAGTTGAGCAGACTACTTCTGTACATAAGGTGATTTAACTGCTCACTAATGAGCAGTGAATTGTTCAGCTCTCCTAACTTTACCTCTTGTGACCAGCTGTTCAGTAAATACACACACACATGCATACACACCCATATATATATAGAATCATAGAATCAACCTGG